CCTTTGTAATAAGTGTGTCTGTGTCTTGTCTCATCATTGTAATAGCATTTAATGCTTTGTAAGACTAGTTGAGTCAACTTGATAGTTAGGATTTGATGTCTTGGCCGAAGAGATGGTATCACGTGTAAATTGATCCAAAGGTCTTTATTTCATTTGTAACACTATAAATACCCCCCACCATGTAATAAAGAAGGGAATAATGAAATTCCAAATACTTGAAGCAATATAATTTTCTCCTCTCTCTCGTTTAACAGCGTATTTCTATTACAAATATTGTTCTTTATCGATTGGTTTCTTATACAATCGTATTAAATTTATCTTGCCGAAAGCCCGAATGGAGACGTCTCATGTCTTTGAGCTANTCAACTATAAATCTTATTTTTATCGATTGGTTTCTTATACAATCCTGTTACATTTATTTTGCCGGAAGCCCGAACGGAAATGTCGCGTGTCTTTGAGCTACTCCCACGTTCAGTTTCTAGAGTCATCTTGACCGTTGATCGGCATTAACGTGTTGGATCAAGTTTACGTGTGTACGAGTGAGTCCGACATCTGTTGGCAACACTTTTTTGGGTCAACATTATCCATGGCGTGCTCAAGCGCCACTGTTTCGACGGTCAGTACAAGGGTGCTGCTGCTGCATGCTTGCTACTCCATGCCATCACCATGCATTCATATGTAAGAGTGCAAACCACCTTCATTGGGAGACTCCTTAGAGGCTCGTGTTAGACAAAGTTTCAAAAAGAATTATATATATTTAACTTTTAAAACTAATCACATATTTGATGAGATTTAAAAATTATAATTTAAATTTAAATCAACAATTAATTTTAACTACACATTCATAAGATTTACAAATTTTCAACTATATATTTAAAAGTTTTTATTAAAAATCTACTACAAATTTAATTTTAATCTGGGCTGAAACTTATTTTCCATGTTTAAAAAAACAAAAAGTTACTAATCTTAAATTTAAGTTTGGCAAAGTTTAAGTTACTTTTAAATAGGCATAGTACTAAAACATGCACAAATCATCTTATTTTGCATTTGTTTGATCCCAATTTTTTTCAAAATACATTTTTCTCTCTCTTCTTTTCAACTATACATTCACACAATAAAATAATATTACACTCAAATTCAAAACGTTTCTTTATTTTTTAACTACACATTCCCCATCAATCTACTATTTCAAAATACATTTTATACAAAAAATGAGGCTCATGCTGTCAGGAGTTTTCCATTAAAAAGAGATTTATTTTTTTTTTTTAAATGTATTTTGAAATAGTGATTTTTTGGAGTACGTGTGGTTTAAGAAAAAAATGAGTTTACATGCAAAAATATATTATTGTGTGAATGTATGATTGAAATTGAATTTGAAAAAAAAAAAAAAAAGAGTTCTGATTTAATGAAAGACAAACAAGAGCTAACTTAGAAAGCCATACAAGAAGTGTAGCAAAATTAGTTATAGATACCTTTCGAGAACATGAATTAAAATGCAGAAAGTAAGAAGATTTATCCAACTATCGAGACTCATGACATCACGATATCCTAAAGTGAAATTGTTCAACATTGACTGTGGTAACCTCTTTAAACAGTCACTCTCACAATACGACGATCAATCGCTTGTTCAGCAATAAAATGGGATTTCCAAAACTCTAAGTTTTACCTAAGAACAGTATCTTTAAAAAATAATAATAATCTAGATTTGAATTTGTAAAAATTACAAAAGATGAAATGACTTCTATATAATTTTCAAGAAATCGAGTGGTATATAGCCCAAAAAAAATCCAATAATAATTTGAAATTAATAAAATAAAACTCTTGGTTTTATATTAACTAAATTATCCAATAAATGCAACATTCAACAATTTTTTATTTTTTTAATGCTAACCTTTCAAATAAATTATACACATTTCACCACCCGACCAACTATCTCAATTCTTAATTATTTCTTTCAAATAAAATGTGATATGTATCTAACCATTCTCACAATGTATGTCTAAAGGCTGACACTCAAAAAGAAGATAACTTAGTACAACACGTTTGTGTCAGGAATAATGTTAAGTGGTGCATCTTTTGGTTTATATCTTCGTCTATACTCCATTGAATTTCAAAATGTGTTGGATGGGAATTTTTTTTTTTTTTTGTTTAAATGTACAATCATGTGTCGTAAAGTCAAAAATGATGTAAAAAAATGTATATGTAGTATGATCATGTCACATTTTTCGTGTTAGAATCAAGTATCATTAGTTGTATGTTTGATATTTATTTTTCTTTATTTAGGTATATATTATTAATATATGGATATGGTAATATATTTTATTTTGCATTTATCATTTGAAAATTTAAGTAATGAAATCAGAACCAAACAAAACTAAACAAGAACCGAATGATTCGATTCCGATTTGATTCCATATCTTAAAAAAAAAAGAAATTATTGATTTCATTATTAAAAAAATCATTGGTTTGATTCGATTATCTTAGAATCACAACTAAATGAAACTACGTCCACCCCTAAGTATCACAATGCTAACCTAATTGTTAGTAGACAAATTATAGCTACAATTATCGCACTAATCTAACTATTAAAATAAACTTATCCTCCATGTCAACCTCCAATCTAGATCATACTCATTGATTTCCATACCATGATATTAGTTTGCCGAGTTGACAATCAAAAATCAAGGTCAACTAAAGATTTTTTTTTTTTTCAACAAACGTGAATATTAAAGAAAAATATTCATTGCTTCCAATAAATAGAATAATCAAACTGTAGACAAAAAATAAAAAGAATAAAAAGAAATTCTCATATAAGTCAACCACAAACAACCACTGAGATAATAGTCAAACTTAATGCTTTTCCTTTAGTTTCCGATACTTCTTTTGTTTTTTGACTAATATTC